AAGCATCCTACTACAGAACCACATCCCCAGCCCTGTGAGGGAATTTTTTAAATGAGTTGATTTAGGGCCAGGGATATAGCTCAGTGGTAGAGCATTTACCTAGCACGCATGAGGCCTTGGGTTTCATCCCCAGCACTGCCCGCCCCCCCAAAAAAATAGTAATAATAATAATAATAATTGAGTTAATTTAAAGAAAATTAGTCATAGTCCAAGTGGTCCATGGATGAAGAAGGCATGAGGCTGGTTTTGAAGGACAGGTGTCCTGGCCCYACCCTGGCTGTGTTGATGGCTTGCTGGGCTGTGGGGAGAGCTGAGCACCAGCACGAGCAGGCCCTGGAACCATGGAGTCCTGCCCGCCCCTATACCTCCAGCATGGCCCAGCACTCAGGATTAAAATCTGTTGTTCAAGAAACTTCCTTTCTTCCTTCAGGTAAAAAAGACAAGGACAAAAAGGAAAAAAAGAAGAAAGCAAAAAAGGCCTCAACCAAAGACCCTGACTCACTGCTTCAGAAGAAAAAGAAGAAAAAGGTAAAATGAGTTCCTGCAGCGTCTCAGACCGAAAAAGGGACCCAAACCCAGTTCCCAGGGTGAATGTTAGCCCTTTGCACACCCAGACACGTCCCTGCCCTCTCCATTCTTGACTCTAAAGGGGGATCTTGTGAGAAAGAGCCGGAAGGGAGTATTCCTAGCCTCTGGAAGCCACAGAAGTGGCCCTGTCTCATCTATGAGGTGGAGAATGAGGGGGGTTAGGGATGAAGGACAGGGATACCCCCAGAGGTCAGGGAGACCCACATGGGCTGTCGCAGACTTTCAGGTGAGAAGAAACAGGACTTGGGCTACATGTACCCAGCTGGCAGGCTGTCCCTACTGAGGAAACTCTCATAGCCATCTGCTCTGCTTGTGRAGCAGCAGAGTTCGAGGGCTGATGGCCTGAGCAGGGTCTATGCTATGGCCAGAGCCTCAGCCTCTCAGGCAGGATGGCGTCCCCCCTGTGCCCAGTAGGCCTGGATTTGTCGGGAAAGTCCTGGGCTCCTTCCTGGAGGGCACATGAGGCACTGCCCCATCCCTAGGGATCCCTATAGACCTGGCATTTGTCCTGGGGGAATCGCCAGTCCCCGGCAGGTGTGGGGCAGCAGTGGGATACACCTCAGGGATAAGAGCCCTGACACTTTTCTCCTCACAGAAGAAGACCGCAGAGCAGACTGTGTGAGAGGCCAGGCACAAGACAGGTATGCTTTCTGGCCCTTCCCAGCCATGGGAGGACCAAAGGAAGGGGGGCTGGGGAAGGTTCCAATCCTCAAGARTTGGTGGGGCCATGTGACAACACCAGGGGCTGGAGGGAGTGTCGGAAGGGTCCAGAATAGAGCGACCAGCATCAGCACGTGAGGGATAGTCAGTCCCCCTCTCCTAAAGCAAGAAGGCCAGGTTTTATCCTCCTTGATGGAGGGAAAGGTCAGGAGGTCTTATGTCTGGATGTGCTTCCTTCCCCCAGGGAGTTCTTAACGGAGTATTGACCATCTCCAGGCCTCTGACCTCTGCCTACCCTGGCTTGAGACTGGATTTATAACTTCTCCCTCTGCAGAAGATGGCCAGTGCAGGGTCCCCATGCTGGCCAAGTCTGTGAGCCTGCTRGAAGCCTGGTCTGAGGAGGAGGGAGCCCAGCTCCTGGGACCTTGCCCCACTGATCCCAGCACAGAGCGCTTCACATAGATGTGTACAGTATATATATTTTTTTAAGTGACCTGTCTCCCCCCTTTAAATCTAACATGCCCAAGGGCTGGACTTTCCACCGCTTCACTCTGCAGACCCAGTGAGGCCAAGTGTGTGCTCATCCATGCACTTGGTCTCTGGCTGATCCCAAGCCTTTGTCCTCTTTTTGTCTATTCTTCTGGTTGTGGCTTCTGTGTTTTGTTTTTTTCTCTTTTTTTTAAGAACTCAAAATAAAARACTTAAAAGAAAGATGCAAATTCCTGGTGTACCTGGGACAAGGCTATGTAGTTGGCTACTTGGGAAAGACGGTCTGACACCTGGCAGTGAGCAAGCCAGCACTTGGGATTCCTTCTTGATGGAGTAGAGCTCTGGGATTCTGTGAGTGGGACAGTTTGCCAGAGAAATAGCCTGAGCCCAGGGCTGAGTCGATGGGGAAAGACTCAGCTGCAGCAAAGCTCATGTGGAACTGCAGGGTGATTGTGGCTGATTTCCTATAAACACCCAGAGAGGGGAAATGGGAAGGGGCCTCAGGAACTGACATGAGTGGGGATAGGCTCTCGAGGTAGAACAGCTGTGGCCGGTGCAGTAGGAACCAGAACACCAGTTAGGAGTGATGGCCCTCAGTCAAGGTAGCTGTGATTCTGTGGTGATGAAGGCAAGACACAATGAAGTCAAGGCTGCGTGGGGCAGTGTGTGCGGGACTCAGTGGTGGCGTGAGTGTGGATGGAGGGGGGGGGGTAGCCAAGTCACCTCCTGCTGCTCCATCCTAGACCTCCTGAGAAAGTCCACTTCCACCCCAAGCAGGTGGAGCACCAGAAGTCCAGAGGTTGTGGAGACTGCCGAGGCTCTCAGCCTCCTGCCAGAGGCAGACAGACAGTGGCAGTGCCCAGGAAACCTGGGGCTGAAGGTCTTGGAGACTCAGGTTGGCATTTGCCTGCACTCGGGGCTTTAGACCACCTCCTCGCCCCAGTGACTTGTCTCTCCTCTAGATCCAGTGTGTTGGTCTAGATCAGACTGCAGGAAAGCTTTGTCCTTGGGCACATTGGCCCACAATTCTTTTTGTTTTGTTTTTTAGTGAGACAAAGGATAGCTTGCCTCATGTGTGCYACGCAAGCACTGGTACAGTGCTTAGTGGTACACTAAGCCATATTCCCGGCCCTTTTTATTTAAGTAGATTTGTAAATTTTTATTATTATTTTTAGTTGTAGTTGGACATAATACCTTTATTTTATTTACTTATTTTTATATGGTGCTGAGAACCAAACCCAGCACCTTGCACATGCTAGATGAGCCCTCTACTGCTGAGCCACAACTCCAGCCCTCCATGGAAATCTTTAATCTTAAGGGTATAGAATGATTTTACTAATTGATGTCTGATTCTTCTTCAACTTAAATGTCAACAAACCTAGCCACAGGKGTCCTGGGCCTTCTCTTGGTAATAAGTAGCTGGAGCTGAGTAGTGTTCGGCCCAGTTAGTTCAGCCTGGGCACCCCATTCTTCACAGCCCCCCCCCCCCTTCCTGTCCATTCCTGACACTGAGGCCCTGTGTTGGTTGCCATCTGTCATCATACTTGTGCTGTTCTTAGTATAGAAATGAAATTGGGGACATGGGGAAATGGAAGCTGAACCAAGAGGAGTTTGTGCTTAAAAAACTGTATGCAAAAATCTCTTTGGGCTGGGGATGTAGCTTAGCAGTAGAGCGCTCGCCTAGCATGCACAAAGTCCTGGGCTCAGTTTCCAGCACTGCACAAAAAGAACGAACTTGTTTTGGAAGTGAAGAGTCTTCACATGTCCATGTGTGTCTCTGTTCAAAGACGTAATCCCTAGATCACCAGCCTCAGTGCTTTGGTACTTTAGGCTGCGTTCTCACACCTAGATGACTGTATTTAGGTCTTCGCTGACCTCCTTATGGTAAATTAATTGGATTCCAACAAAAAAGCCGGGAGCCAGAATGTTCTACTTAACTACCTTTTATTCTTACGTGATCCATGGGCCTAAGGCTGATGACAAGCTTGGCTGAGCAGCAGAGTTGGGTTGGCATAAGTGAGGAGGGCTAGTTGGTGGGTGAGGCTGGGTTCTTTGGGGATTGATTAAAAAAAAGGGGGCAGAAGGGGAGAGGACAACGAATATGTTCATCCTAGAGCTTGGGGGTGAGGTGTTCCATTCCCCGTCTGTGGGCCTAGATCTCTGAGCCCCATGTTGATGACTACTATGATGTTGGAAATGGGGGTTCTCATAGTTGGGGTCCACCTCCCAGTTTTGCTTCCCTGCTGATGGCTAGGAGTTGGGCAGCAGGGCCCTGTTGTGTCATCTGTGCTATTTTGATCTGTCATGCTCCAGGATGATGGAGAGCCAGTCGCCAGAATCTCATGGGACGAGGTGTAGGGTATGAGAGAATGGAGTTTGGGGGGACTGGGGAAGGCTGGAGGTACGGAGGAGCAGGAAAGCTGTGACCACACAGAGCTGGCTGGTGCTGGAGACGGCCTCTTGTTTTCACATGATGACTATGGAAAGGAGCATCAGAGTGAGGCTGGTCCCCTCTTTGTTGTCCCTGCCCTTCCCCCGCATCCTGAGGCTTCAGAGTAGTCAAAGACTCCACCCTCCGCTGCCCCCTGCTGAGGTACAAGCCCTGCCCATCAGAGACTCCTGTCCCTCGCCCCCAGCAGCCCCCAGCTCTGTTCCTCAGTTGGGAAASGGTCATCCCAGGCTATCAGAATAACTCAGAATCCTCTGGGAATGAGCTATGGGACCAGGTCCCCTTGCACAGGGCTCTCACCTTGGCCCAGGTCCTGCTTAGTCACACCCAGTCCAGAAGACACATCCTCCAGTTCCAGTGGCTCTGTTGGGAGCATCAGATGGTTTGTTCCCTGTAATGCCAGCCACCCCACCTCTGGGCAAAGTGCCTGAAGACCTTCCCTGGAGGTGGAGCAGGCTCCACGATGGTGGGGGGGGCGCTGAGTGAAAGCCCAGGAAGGGGTGGCGCGACACAGTGGGAGTCCATAGGACTCCTGGATGCAGGAGGACAGCGCATGGACAGATGTGTGGATGTCAGAGGAGACAAGTGACAAAGGGACAGACAGAAGAGGAGTGCCCAGATGGGTGGATGGATCAAGGGCTAGATGTGTGGCTGCCAGTGGCTGTCCCCAAGAGCTGCCATCCCATGTCCTGGTCCCATGTGCCAGGAGGGACCTCTTGCCCCTTGGCTTTCCTAATCCTTGCTAGTCCTTCACACTGCTGGCATGGTGGCCCCTGCTTACCACTGCAGTCATGGCGCCCGCGGCTCCTGGTGTGAGGGACCTCAGTGCCGTTGGGGAAGACGCACCAGCAGTAGCCGATGCTCCCATGGCACTGGAGCGGCATATAGTTACCGTTCTCATCACACTTGGGACGGAATGCGCCCGGGTGGACAGCAGGGATGTGGCTGACCTCTTCCTGGCATTTGGTCAATACTGAAGCGACAGGTGTGATGAAGACAGTGAGTGAGCAAGCTCTGGGCTGGGGTCTCRGCAGAGCCGGACTTGCACACCCTGCCGTGGGCCTAATGCCTTGYGCCCTCATGTCCCTGCTTCCTCCACTCACTGCATAGGAGCGAAAACTGAGGCCCAAGGCCTAGACCAACAAGTCCAAGATCAAAGAGGAAGTGGGTGGTTGTGTGTCGTTCACCCCAGAACTGGATGACCCCTTCTGACAGCCAAAGCCGTAAAGTTTGGAATTGACCCATGATTGTGATTTCAAGAGGAAAGCAGAAATCAGCCTTCRGTTACTGGAGTACCCAAATACAAGTGAGGTTACCCTTTGTTGGGGGTGCTTAACGACATGGAAGCCCAGAAGGAAGAGACAGCACGAGGGTGAGATTGTAGCACTCATAAAGGCTTCAGGCAAAAAAAAAAAAATGGTGTCATACTGGGGTTCCTGCCTGGTATGTTTGATGTTGGGTTTGCCCCAGGCCCTCTTGGGCAGTGTCGTCTTCTGTGACGGAGGTGATGTCATGACAGGAGGCCTTTGGACCCCAAGAGCAGTTAACGGTGTGAAAGCACAGACCAGACAAGAGGGTCCAGGGCAGCCAAGCCCAGAGAGAAACAGGCAGGAGAGGTGGTGAGAGGCGGGAGAGTGACACATGATCATGGAGTTGGCAAGTGCTACAGGCCCTCTCTTTCCAGAGAGCCCTGAGGGAGCCCCAGATCCCTGGCACCCCAAAGTTCCTACTCCCTGTACCTCTTGTTGGGGCCTCAGTGGGCTTCTCCTCCAGGGAGTTCTTGCTCATTTCAAACAGGAGCCACTGGTGCAGCCAGTTCTCGAAGACCTAATGTGGGTAGAGGTTAGAGGTCAGAGGTCACATTCAGTAGACATCACCAAACTGCTACCCTGCCTGGGAACAGAAACATGGAGGATCATACAGGGCCCTGATACCAGGATCCAGTTAAAGACCAGTGGATTCCTCAACTCTACGCATTCTCCAGCTTTCTGGGCTTTGTGAGTGTTCATGGACCCAGAGCAGCTTCCAGAGAATGGCTCTCCTAGCCCAGCCCTCCCCACCCCACCTCTTCCAACTCTACCAGAGACACCAGAAAAAAGGGCTTCAGTGCAGGGAAACTACTGACCTTCCAGTCCAGGTTGTCCATGGTGCTCTTGAGGTGTTTCAGGTTCTCTGGGAAGCTCCCCTTCAGTTGTGGGTACACCTTCAGGGGATTGGATTTCTGCAGAGTGGCAAGGCAAGAAGGAAGGTTAAAAAGCTCCCTGTCAGGCAAGGTGAAAATGTGCAGCCCATGTTCCCCTTGTCTTCCATTCTGAGATGTGGACCTGAGCTGCACTAAGCCTGGCCCCTGGACCCCAGCCATATGGAAGGGGAGGAAGTAAGGGCTGTTCACCTTGTCACTACAAGGGCCCAGGGCTGGGAGTCAGGCTTCAGGTTCCAGACCAGCTCTACCAATACCCACCCCTAGTCTTGTCCCTATAGACACCTACTTGTGTTCGAGGTCTTACCTTCTCCAGGAAGACTGACCATCCSCAGCTTAGTTGGGTCCTCTGCCTGTTACTTGAAAGCCACCTATACTTGCCTTGTAACCTTGTCACTTGCCTGGGATCACCCACTTGCCTACGATCCCTTTGGCCTTGGGAGCTTGGGAGCTCCTACTGTGGCCTCTGAGTCTTGCACAGAAGATAGAAATTTTGGAAAAAAAAAAATGAAAG